GCATTATCCCACCCCAGCGCTGACTGCACACGCACAGCCTGGCGCAAAACCCGTTTGTAAGCCATTAATACCAGCTGTTGATGGCAAAATCCACACACCACGCAAGGGGAATATTGTCCTCATTTTGTTTTGTAGAGCCATCTTGAGAGTATTGAAAGATCTAAATATCAGTCTTCTCGTTTCAGTTCTTCGTCTCAAACACCCTATTGTGCTAAAAAAGGCCTGTTAATTATTAATTTATAATTGAGGGACATGTGAGAAGATCTCACAGCGCTGTAGGGGAAATTAAAACTTAGTAAAGCACCCAGGTCTCGATAACAGCATTTCCATCATTCCACGAATCAGGACTGGGTTTGATCAGTACTTGAATGGGAGACTTCCAGTGAAAGTCAAGTTGCTGTAAATGATGTTGATAGACCAGTGTGCGGCCTCTAAACCAGTTTTCAAGCCATTGCATTAGTGTGGTGACTGGGGACGCTGTTCCATAGGAAGTGCTTTTCATTTGGATGAGACTGGTGTCCTGACTTTGTGGTCAATAAAGATCCCAGGGCACCATTTTGTAAAAGTCGGACTGTCAACCCCAGCATACTAGCAAAATTCTACTCTTGTCTTTTATATTCTGACTGTCGCTTCTCTGCCTGATGTGTTGTACTTTACGTATGCGCCAACACTGACAGGTACTGCGTTTCAGTGGGGTATGAAGTGGGTGCCCTCTGTATGTACAGTTCCTTGGGATCCTTTGGGATGAAAAGTGCTATACAAATAAAGGGGACCATTGTTATTATTAAGCCTTGCTATACGAAAAAACCCTCCATTTCATATCTTAATGCAACAACATCACCAGGGCAAAGTGAAATCTCTAGATTTGTCACGCTGAGATTGAAAGACCCAGAAATATAAAAACAGTTTCACCTGCGATGATTTGTTTTCCAGACACATCCCTGAGAGATCACAGCGTGGGGGCCTGAAAGGCAGGCTATTAAACAATGGCGGATGACTGTAGCTGATAACCCCAGGCAGAGCCTGATAAAGTGGATTACGCCATTATATAGGCAATATGGAGAGCCTATCTGGGAAGCCATCGAGACTTGAGAGCCGAGATTAGCGGAACCACTTTAAAAATAATGAAAGATGCAATTTTCTCTGTGGTCTTTATTTTGTATTCCTGGCATATCTGAGATAAGGAGCCTCAGAGGAAGATCAGCCTGGATTACACCCCTAAAGGTGCAGTAGGGGCTGGAAACAGGGGGAGTTTACAGCTGTTTGCTGCCACAGCGACGGGGAGCTGGGGCGACTGTTGAACTTCTCACAGTCAGTCCCCCAGTAGCAGTATTGTAGTGCAGAGGCAGCAGACCTCACTCACGATAGCTTGATTAGCTTCCAGACAAAAGATTGCAAGGAGAGCCTTAATGGTCTGTCTGTTATAGACAGATAGATACTTTATAAATCAAGTTCATTCAATTACAATGCAACAGCAGCCAGGCACAATCAACACAGCACAGTACCATGCAACAATACAATAATACAATAAATACAGTCAATAAGAAGTGCAATAAAAAATGGAGTATAAGGAAATACACACAATACAAAATATACTGTACAAAATATCCTTATCCCTGAATTGGTTACTGTATTCCTTTTCATGTGCTCTTTAGCTTGACGTACAGACTTGTTCAGCGAACTCTTGCTGATCTAGTTTCAGAGTCCTGCTGTATCAAAAGCAAGCAGCCCCTGTCACAGAGAGAACTCATTGCGGCCACCATCACCAGCTGCTCAATAAAGCAGACATACATTAGCAGGATGTGGTAGCTCGGCCTTGTGCATAGTGCAGGGCCTGGTGCAGATGCTCGTGATTGAAGGGCGGTACATCACAGGCACAGAGGTGGTGTGGGAAAATTGGTACGGGCTGCCATGTTTGAGGATACTTAATTAGACACAGCTTTTATGCGTGTTTTTTTTAATGACTTGCTTACAGCTGTGTTTAAGCTGGCCGGACAGACAGAAAATTCTGTCCTGCGGGGATTAAGGATGTAGAGTTCAGGGTGAGGAGAGAGAGAGCGAGGGATCGGAGCCAGTGAGATGGAAAGGAGAGAACGTGGGTGAGCTGAAACTGCAAGGAATGCGAGACAGCTGTCAGGAGATTCTGAGCATACAAAACTGCTCATTATGTTCCATCCAGAAGTGCAAAGCTGCAGAGCTGCGATTTCTCAGCTCGGCGTTCCTGGTGTGGGGTGGTGCTGCAAACAGGGTTCGGTCTCTAGCTGTTCCTGCAACAGTGTGCAGGAGAGCTTGGAGGAGAGGTCACGCCAAAGTGGTGCGAAGAGCTGTTAAATATCGGGTAAAAGTTGAAGGCGATTGGGGTGTGTGTGTGTGTGGGAGGGAGGTGGTATTTAAAGTGAAAAAACAGCATTTAGCAGGCCGGCACGTGGGTAAATCTAATAACCTGCTACCCCACAGTGTGTTACCCCCGTGATGCTAATCTTTCTTGACAGGTGTATCTGGGAGGACACCGAAAAGCTTTTGCCTCAATTTCAGGATTAGATGGGATGCGAGGCCTCAGTGCTCAGAGCTAGCCATCCTCCGCTGCCCCATAGATCCCAGCTAATGCAAAACAGCTCTCAGATCATTACCTCTGTGCTGTGGCGGCCAGGCCTGCGAGCCTTTTCAATAACATATCTCATCAGAGCCGGTGCCGGAAGCAGAGAGTAATAAGATCCCGAGGTCGGATTGTTGGCTTAGCGCTGGGAATGGCCAGCACGACGTCTGATTCACACAGTGGCACCTGGGTTGGTCTTCAAACAAAGAAATGTCCATTTAGACAACTTTAATACTGCTGATGAGAAGCTGGGACTGATGTTTGAATCACAGATTGAACAGTTTTGATGTTAATCCATCTAAGGCTTTGCGTTGTGCTTCACTCCCCTTAACGCAGGCCTAAGCAGCAGAAGTTCTATTCAGCCTCCAAAGTTTCTGCTCCTCAGTGCTGCCGAAGGGCTGACCGGCGATGTTGTGTACCTGAGTTGTTTTTTTTGTGCATTCAAGGCTTCTCTGCTGTTTGCCGGGGTCTCTCAGAAGGACAGGCTTAAACTCGTGACCCTCGTTAGCACATTGCAGTCTGGAGCTGTGTTAATGATGGCTGGACACAGAAAGGGACCTCTCCCTAAACAACCCCAGAACAGCCTGTGATTTGACTTCTGCCTGGGAAAACGAAATCCAACCTCTTGTGCAGAAGAGCAGAAAATAAAAGGTTGGGTTTTTTTGGAGAAGGAAAAGCCAGGCTAGGGAGAAAAAGAGGAGCTAATGACAGTGGCAGGTAACCATGCTGTGCCCAGGGGGGTTAAACTGCTATGAACAGGGATTTTACAAGCTTAAGCTCCTACTTGCTGTTATGTTGGAGTTAAGAGATTTTTTTGCTTCCAAACTCCAGCCATTGAGTAAAATCAAAGTTTAACTGCAAATCAAAGAAGAATACACTGTAGGAAAGGCTTTATGAAAGCACCATCAGTTGTGGAGTTGTGGGCACACCTGGAACAGTCCTTTATAAGCCTTGGAGTCAGGGAAGATAGAAGGCGGAAAGTTCAAAGACAGTGAAAGTTCTAGTTAAAATACTTGTGGCCTTAAACCCCGGAGGCCCTCTTGCTTTGGTTGAAATTAAACCTGGTCTTGAAGTTTTGTTCTGGTTCGGGTGAAGCCATCTTTGGACACGTTTTCAAGTGCGTCCGCTGAGAGATTCTTTTCTTCGGGTCTTTGTATCGAGAGTTTTTCCTCGTGGGTTGAAGACGTACTGTATGGAGCCTGTCTTGGCTCGGTGGGCGATGACGCACGTGTCTGGCGTTTGACTTTTAAAGGTGAAGTCTGACATTTTGACATTCCTGCTGTAGTAGGCCGGCTCACGAGCAGACTTTGATCAGTCAGGCTACATTAACGCTGTGAATTATGGGACCTGTCTGTGCTATTTTGTCTACCTACTCATTCATACAGAGCTTCTAATTTCCACCCTTATGCATTTGATGTTCGAGATGTTTCAGTAATCAGGAACCATCCTCCAGACAGTAACCCTCTCCTGCATTATGGAAAAAGTATTGCTTTTCAGTGATGGTCATGTAAGAAGACATCACCTTCTGCAAAAGCATGCTTTGCTCCAGTTCAGTTGATCGTGTCCACCCATATGCGAGGTGTGTTTCTTAGCAAGTCAGAAGAGGAAATGAACTTGCTGATGCTTGCTAACCCGCTCGGGGAGACCTGCAGTCCACGTGCTCATCTCAGCCTTTCAGCCTTTGAGTTCTTGCTTGTGCATATCAGTTCTGCAGCGGCTTCAAGCATCAGAGAAGACTGCTTGAAGCCTCCACAAGGAGAAGCAAACACGATCAGATTCTCTGCGGTATCATATTCCAAAGTGCTTTGTTTTTTTAGTGTGTTAGGTCTTAAGTTCTTGCTTAAGTAGAACAGTACAGGTGGGATGGTCTTGCATTGCTGCTTTGCAGTGCTAGGGCCCTGGGTTCAATTCCTGGGGTGCTGTATTTGCAGATTTGATACCCATGTTAGCTTTTGCTATCCTCAAGAAATCTCTATTCGATGCTTTCTGGTTGTCTCAAAGGTGTCATTTTTACTCGTTTTGCATTTAAGAAATAAAATGAGAATCCCCAGTCTTCCTAGGACATTTTTCCAGTGAAACGACTCATATTCACGTTAGTTAAGACCAGACGTCTCAGTGAAGAATATCCTGCGTCAAAAAAAAAAGCTCGACACCCTGACGCGTGCGAACGTCCGATTTTTATGTCCCGAGACGTGTGGGGACGACCCAGAACGGCGCTCCGGGCCCGTCGAGCAAACTCGACGAGGAGTTTCTGGGCCGGACCAGCCGTAACAAACCTGCCGGAGTCCGCAGGAAGTCGCGCCTCGCCGGGGAGGAGAAGCCGCCGGTGGCGTTTCCTCGGCGCGGCGGCGAACCTGCGCCAGCTGGCGGAGCCGTCGAGTTGCTCGGCGCAGGGGCGGAGTCTCCCCGCGGTGAGCAAGGAAGCGAGGAACAGGCAGTGTTTTTTTTTTACTTGGATTGTGTGTTTGTCGACCCCCCTCCTCCTCCTCCCCCAGGGATTGACTGTGTTTGCGTTTTCCTTTTCTGTTTGGCTTCTCTTGTTTTGTTGATCAACCACCCACCCACCCACCACATGCTTCTCTTGTTTTTTTTTTCTTCCCTCTTGCAGTGTGGCCGGGACGCCGGAAATTTTGACCGCTTTTTCACCCGCCATCCTCCGGTGTTAACCCCACCCGACCAGGAGGTCATCCACAACCTTGACCAGTCCGAGTTTGAGGGCTTTTCCTATGTTAACGCTTCTTTCATTAGCACGGAGGTCAAGAGCTAAGGACATAACAGGGCAAAATAAAACTTGGGCTCCTACAACAGATTGATCATAGATATATATATAAAACTGTATCTACCTACCTGTCTCCATAACGTACATGGACATATATATATATGCATGCAGAGCCCTGCCATATTAAAATGAGCAGCAGGGGTGCGACTGTGGCCCAGATTCCGAGCAGGAAGTGGAGAGGACACAAACACGGTCACGTCCGCTACCTTTGCGCGTCCTGCTGGACCTGAAGCAGGCAGCCATTAGGATACACTCAAATTTAGACGGCGAGCAGACAAAAAAAAAAAGGTTGGGAGACACCTACTTATTTTAATATATCGGGGCTCTGCATTTATACATACATACGTGTATGTATATCTGTTTATATAGTTCAGACAAGCTGATGATCATTTTACAGACCTACTTGAAATGGATTTGTTAATAAGAATGCCGGTTTGGGACCAATATTTTATTTTTGAATTGACCTTCCATTTGTATACTGAATGCTATGATGTCAACTGATCAGCTGGCAAGACGACCATCCAGATTTCAGGAAGTGTTCCTCGATTGTCAGAACAGCCTGGGATGTTTCATTTTTTGCACTGTCATGACTTCTTCATTGCAAGCAACCCCCTCCACACCACACACTCGCCATCCCACAATTACTCCATGCCCTTCTATGCAATGTACGTTGCATAGACACTTATCTCTCCAATTTCCCTCCCATCTCTACAAGTAGGCTTTCGGTCCTGCAGTTATTGGCCTAAATCGTGTGTAGAAGCCATTGATTTCTGTGTCAGCTGATTGAATGACTCAGCCAGTTTGGCTTTTTTCAGTGGACTCTCTGACCTTGACCCGGATCTGAGATTGTCGATGTTGTTGTGTTTCTGTTAAGTTTGTGTTTAGTCCATTTTTTTTCCCATTTTCTTTTTTTGGGGGGTTTTGAATGGCCTCAGAAATTGAACTTTGCTCCAGAACCTCACCAAAATTCTGGAAGCCACCCCCCGCCCCTAAAAAGGCAGGAAAAATTGCCCTAATTTATTTTGCATGAGCTGCTTTTTTTTATCTGCGAGTTTTGAATAAAGTAGCTATTAGGGTTGCTAGGATGACATGAATTACTACTTCTGAACATTTACAATATATTTAAGTGATATTCAATTGTTTTTTTTAAGCATGGAAAAACCAAGGTATTTACAGGATGAATCAATGCAGCATTTTCTGTTTAATCCATTTTAGTTAGTTCTGCAGTCTGGGGGCTCCTTTGTAATGAGGCCCAGTGTCGTGGCTTGTATATAGCATTGCTGTAGGTCAGCCCTACACACTCCAGAGTCCAGGAGTGACTACCACACTCTGGGATCTGGCAAAGGCACATCTGCATGACAACGTGCACCTCTGTGGTGCATTCCATTTATGTTAAAAAAACAAAACAAACGAAAGCATATTATCTAACAAACAGGGTTCAACTGGACAAGGTTCTGTACTGCGAAGCTACAAAACAAATCTCGGATATTTTACAATACACGTTCTTTTGTTAGAGTGCTTGCTATTATTACTCTCAGAAAAGCACCTCAGAGCCGTTTTTTTTCGGAAGGGACTTTGCTCCCCAGAAGTTCCAGGCAGTGAAGTGACGCTTAGTGGCAGACTTTGCTCGTGTTTCTACACAGCGGCAGTGGGCGTGGTACGAAGTCAAATCTCAGGGCGAGGGTCGGTGCCCTTGCAGTCTGCCATACAGCAGCCTCTCTGTGGCAAACTGAGGACGAGCAACACAGAGCAGAGGTTGGACGGGCCTCAACGGCAAAACTCGCCTTGAACCCATTCACGCCAGTTTCCCCCAGTGGCTCAGAGACTGGAAAACAAAAGAATAAGAAACCAACAGGAATGCAGTGGCACACACAGTGGCATTCCTTGTTAAAGGAGACAGGTCGGGCCAGTCCAAGGCTCCAAACGTGCAGCATATTAATGAGTCGGTGCATGTGAAAGAGATGTCCATGCCTGGTGATAACATTGCCAAACAACCATGGCTATTGGGTATTTTGTAGGTTAACTGTACTGGGCCAAGATGGGCAATATGACTAATGCCTGCAGTCTTCTAGCTTGCATTGAGCAACGATCCAGATGTGGGCAGTGTTGTCTCAGAACCCAGCGCTAACACCATTCTTGCAATCCAGTAGCTTTCTTTGCATGAAGCTACAAGCAGGGTCTCAACAGCACCAGCCGGTGAGGATGGCGGTCTGGAAATAACATCTAGATGTGCTGAAACCTGCAGGCGCAGATCACACAGCCTTGATATATATCGCAGCTCCAGCCGCAAAACAGCGTGATCGTCGAGCATGGGGTTATCGAAAAGATGTTTTGTACAACGACGCTTGCCTGGAACACATCTTGTTCCCGAGTACTTATGTACCAGGCTGCGTGACAGAGACCGCATGCTTAAAGGTCATGAACAACTTGAAAGGCCGTCTGCGCAGGATAAAACAAAAGCGCTTGTCTGAAGGTGGAACGCAGGGAGCGGGCAAGGGCTGTCTCCTTTCACGCAATGCCATTTTGTTTGTCCGTCACACAAGCTGGTCCGAGGCTGACGGTGCAGAGCAGACAGCTCTTTGCTGTCAGGGGTGCTGTTGGTTCTATCGGCATCCACACCAGCGAGGAAATTCGATTCAGTGGCAAAGATAAATCCGCAAGGAAAAACCGGGATGTTAGAACTTTCAAAAGCAAAATGAACCGCTAATCCGTGTGCAATGACATTTTGCCTGTACCTCTAAAATACAAAGCTAGGTGCTAATGTAGTTCACGGGCTGCTGGGATAACCAACTCTTTGCTAAAGGAGGTAACTTGTCACTTAAACCACTTGTATCTTCTGTAGAATTGAAAGGGAAGGGAAATCCTAGAAGGATTTAATGAAATTCTTACCATTGGTAGTGATTTAAAAAAAAATCAGTACACATCTGTTTTGCTAGACAATGAATAGGAATATTATGATCCTTCATTGACATTATTCTTCAGATTAATATGAATGGTTTTCTTATCTCTGCCAAATCTGGTGTGTAGTTTATTACGGGGCTTTAATATTTCTAAAGAGAATCATATGCAGTAAACAAAATGTGTCAAAATATGTTCAGTGAATCTCTTGCATACAAAGTGGTCAGATTTTATGTGAGCCTTACAGTATTGTTAAAAAAAAACCTTTAAAAAAAAAAAAAAAAAATGTTTATAGATTATTCTGTGTCTTTTCTAAATTGACGATGCAATCTGGGGTTTGCATTCCAAAAAGGAAAGCTTTGTGCATGAATTATGAACTACGAACTGTGATATATTGCTATTTTGACGATGAGCGCTTTAGTGTTTTCAAGCTGTTGTGTGTGCTTTGTAAACTTTGAACTCAAATGCTGTTAATGTGCCAAAGTATTTTCCAGAGAAATATCTAAATTAAATAAACTTTGACATGAAGAGGTATGTTGATATTTCCTTTTGAATTGGTGCCAACCCTTTCAGATCATGAAGATGTTTTCAGAAAGGGGCTGTGTTGCCTGTGAAATTAGCACTGTTAGTTAGTGGTGCTCATGGACTTTTGTACTGTATTGCTGTTCCCAATAGTCCCAGTTATAGCCCTGCCTGGAGAATGCAGAGCAGCCACTGCATGGATTTCAAGGCTGCTGAAGCAGAGGGGGTCAGAAACCACACAGTTCAGCCATTTTGCCTTTTCAGCTTTGCACATCTGCAAATTAATATGAACTGGGCTTAAAATAAGATTCCTGCTGGAGAACCGTTTTAGCTGTGTCAGGTTTCCTGAGCTAAAGGATCTCGGTTTGAAGCCACCAGTTTCCCGCGGTTTTGATTTAACTATCGGAACCATGTGGAATTAGATTTGTCCCTTTCTGCTTCATCAGAACAAGACCCTGCAGTTCGTAAGACCAGGGACGGATCCGGCGGCTGTGCATTGGGAATCTTATTTCGATTCCTCGGTTATTTATTGTTGTTATGCTCTGCATCACTTCTCCGTTATAAATGATCTTTTAAAAGCTGTTCCAGCTTATCTCTGGGGCTGGCTCAGTGCTGAGGTGCCTCCTCGCTCGGCGCATGAATGTTAATTAATTCTGAATGTCACAGCCTCCAATTAAAATCAGCCGGTTAGCTTGAGTGTCTGAGGCTTATCTGCTGAAAACAGGTCACTGTTTGACACTGGGATTCTGTGCTGCATCCGCGCGTACTGTTGCTGACATCGGCTGAGCCTTAATCCCCACTTTCCTGAAAAGCCCGAGCCTTAATAGTGGAAGAAATTAAAGAATCAAGGTTATAATTAAACTTTAGTCTAGGGTAGCACAAGCGACTCAGCAGAAAGTGGAGTCTTTTAAGCGTCTTCCCCATCTGTCATCGTTAAAAAAACCACCTTCCTGTCATATCATTGCAGGCCATCTAATAAACACGATGAGCAAAGATTCAAATTGCTTATTGCAGAAAGTGCTGTGTGAATACAGAAAGATCCAATCGCCTGTATGCTGACTTCCAGAGTATTACAATACCTCTGGAATGGGTTGGTCCACCTCCAGGATCACTTATAACTGCAGAAACCCCTTATACAATGGCCGACATGCGGTCAGAGATGTCTCCAGACATTAAATCTGTTCTTGGGGTCCGTAGCTTGTTGTGGCCTGAAGCTGGCATCCCGTTGGTGGTCTTTTGAGGCACGTCACTGCCTGTGAATCTGTGAGGCTGTCTGAATTGACACACCAACTGGATCTGCTGTTGCCTTCAGCGGTGGGCAAGAGGTATCAGGCTTACACACGAACAAACAAGCCCCCCACAAGCCCGCTTTCATCAGCCTTCTGTCCAACAGCACAGCCAACAATGGAGAAGGCCTGGTCTGCTGCTAATTTACTGTGCACTCCTTAGTAATCATGTACCATCCCCCCACTTTGACAGCACACTTCACAGCGAATCAAAGAAATGATGGAGTAGGAAAAACACAATCCATATGTATGTGTACATATTGACAGTATATTTGTGTGCATAGTGGTGCAATGTCTGTGTCACTAAATTACCCAGCGCCTCTATGAAATGTTCAAGATCAGTGCTTTTGTGGTGCCTGTGTTTCTGTTAATCCCTCATTACCATATTTCCATCTAGACATTTTGTAGTCTTTTCAACTGAGTGCAATGGAGGATATTTAAGGAGGACTAAACCTAGAGGGGAGGTGCCATTTTAAAATAACATGACCTGCTTTGTGCCCTGGGGACGGAGGAGGCACCAAGGAAAACTCTTGCACTCCTTGCCCCTTAAGGCACTTAAAAATGAGACGAGCCCCTAACCATTTGTGAAGGTTACTGGGCTCCGCTGTTGTACAGATGCAGTAGCTGCACAGCTGTTAACAGACTGTTCGGTTGCATTCTAACTGTTCATCTGTCTCCAGCTGGCAACAGGCCTGGGAACATGCATTAAAGAGCTCTGAATAACGCCCTGATTGTGCAGTGTAAACAGGCAGCTTGTTTTCTCTCGACTGCATGTGAAAGATGTCGTGTTCACTGTCGGTGGAAAAGCGGAGGTTTGATTATATCGTTCTTTGGCACACATTCCTTGTGCTTAATGTTTCTGGAAAACCATTTCGTCTTGTGCTAATAACACTCCCCCCTAAACACAGGACTTTCTAAAAGTGTTTCTTTCTGTTCAAAAGAGCGGTATTGTAACCTGCCCTTAATCTAAAATTCATCTGAAATATGAAGCAGAGCTTTGTGATTTCCCTGTCTTCCTAAAGGAATGGAAGCCATAAATCGTCATTATTCTGATAAAGGTAATTCCATAACAATTCTATTTCATTTGAGTTTGCTTTTGAAAGCCCTTTGGTGTCGGTGCTGTCACACCCAGCAGCTGTTGTAAGGCCCCCAGGTGATCCAGGCTCCCCCGAAGTGAGGCTGCCCAGGTCCCTGCACAGGGAGAGGGGGGTCTGTGTAGAGCTGAGCCTGGGGCTCTGCTGGCCTACACGGGAACAGGAGCAGAAGGTAGGAGATGTGCTGTTGTCCTGACTTTGCTATCTTCTGGCTCAGTACTGTGCTACACAGGATGGAGGGTCTTGTCTCCAGCCTTTCCTTCTGTCCTGTCTTGTGTATTTACCTGAATGTGAATTATCTCTGTTACTGTATGTAGCCCGGCCTCTGTTTGTCCTGCTGTGTGAGGTGGTCAGGTTGGGTTTCTCTGTTAGCCTTGTCAGTGTGGTGTGTTGTCTTCTTAGCGTGAATTGTCTTTTTAGTGAGATGGGTATGCATACCTGCTGTCAGGCCTATTTTATGGGGCTTCACCAGCTTTGTTTGCAGTTTGCCTTTTGGGACGTATGAAGGCTAAGGGGTGTTTTAAGCATGTTTGACCTCCTGTACAAGAGCAGTTCTTATTAGAACCTCCTTCTGTTGCTGATCAAAGCTGTATGTTGAAGAGTGGTGAAGTTCTTACTCCCTTTGGCTCTCTTTACACCTCCTTTGGTGTATTAACATCCATTCTTCATTCCCTTTCCCCTTATTGCCAGAACACCAACCTCCAGTCCACTAGACTGATTAAAAACCCCCTTTTATCACAGTTTCCATTCACTGTCCACCCATCTCTGTCTTTCCATCACCACCACTGGCTGGACTGGCTAATCTGTACCCCCCCACCCAGACAGGCCATGCCTGGTGCTTTCTTCCCAAACAGAGGCACTTAATGCTTCATGCACACGATTCCAAGCAAGAAGCAAACTTGTTACGAGATCTGCCATAAACAAGGAAGCAAAAGGGGATCCTCTAAAACTGTTTATTTCGGTTCAGATTATGGCAAAGCACACGAGACACACGAGGAGGTCCCCCGAGAAGGCTGCCCAAGAACCGAACATTTCTTCAGTCTTGCATCACCACTAGCAAACATTACAGTACTTAGGGATCTAGAAAAACGTATTGTGTCCTCCAGGCGAAGACAAGGTGACAGAAGCACAGTTAAAGCCAGTTGGAAGGGCAGACTTCAGAACTGGAGCGCGTTCCTCTTGCTAATTATTAGATTCTTTCTAGAGTTCTGGAAGGCATATGACTCTGCCCATGATGCTTAAACCTTCATGAGAGGCAGGGGAGCAATATTTTGTCTTCTGGAGCTGTTTTGACTTGACATGGGCTGAGACTGATGGCATCACAATGGGATACTCAACATTGTCCTGGCGTCTGTAAAACATTGTGATTTGCAGAGTTGGTTGAATCACCGACCCAGAGGGGCAAAATACTGTGTCACTTCATTTCATGACTTTAGCTTATTCGGGGGCTTTTCTATGCCAGCTTTTCAATTTAATTTTTTCCAGTGTTTTATGCATTAATAACGTGTAAAACACAAAAGCCTTTAACAAAGGCCTCGTATTCCCATGTTTTCTGTTATCCAGCTCGAGTGCCGGAGGTATCTTTCACCGGAACATGACATTTTTTAAGTTTGTTTTTCTTAAAAGCCCATGCACAACCGGTCAGTCTGTAGAGCGGGTGTGAGGAAAGAGACGCTCAGGTCGAGGTCGATACGAGGCACACAGACGATTCTGGCTCAGAACAGAAGAGGCTTCTGCTGTGGAGCCCAGCAAGGTCCACTTTTCAGTGAGCGTAGTGCTTGTTACTTCGGCTGACAGGGGGTTAGTCATTCCTATCTCCTTTTTACCATTCTTTGCTTTTTTTTTAAAAAAAAAAGTACAGACAACAAAAGCTTTAGAAACCGAACTCAGCAGGGACCGTGATTCTCGCCGTTTTCGGTTCAATGGGGTTATCTCAGCGGTGCCATGTCTGTGATTTCCTTCAGAATTGCTTCTTCGGTGTGTGTATCTCCGTCTTTTTGTTCACGCCTTGAGCCGCTTTTCTAAAGCAAAAATCTCTCAGTAGGCACACTACAATTCACAACACAAGGGAAGGAGCCAACTTCTTCCTTTTTACAGCCTGATGAAGTTGATTGTGAATGAACTGAAGTATATCTGTGTTAGATGGGGCTCAATTCTGCTCGCAGTCTCCTGCACTTACTCTGCTCACATCACAGCACAGAGGACGTAGTTCAAAAGTGATTCTCAATCATATTGACTTTTTTTGGGTGTATACCTGTCTTCATATTTATATGGGGTGGAGAGCAGAACATCTACTGTACCAGTGAAGCACTAACTTACAGTACTTTACTGTGTTCATTCCACATATACATTTTTCCCACAGCTTACACTTTTTCTTAAAGCTCTTACACTTTCTTTAAGAAAAAATAATATTTACACCTCCACCAATGTGGGTTTTAACTCAGAAGTGATTTAGTCAATCTTAATTACACTTGTTACCTGTTACCTGTTACGGGTTGAGTGGTGGCTCTGTGGCTCAGGATCTGCGCCTGTGGCTGGAAGGTTGCCGGTTCAAATCCTGCGGGCCGGCAAATCCAACTCTGTTGAGCCCCTGAGCAAGGCCCTTAACCCCAGCTGCTCCAGGGGTGCT